CTCCACCTTCGCCTCCACCTCCACCTCCACCTCCCCCTCCGTTCCACATGTTTGTCCATTCCTTCAGCTCTATGTTGGTCGCCGTCGTCTGGTCTACCAACTCATCCACTCCACTTATATTTCCGACCATCTCATTGAGTTCCTCTCCGAACAAGACTACACTTTTGTGGGCGTTGACTTGGACAAACTTCAAAGGGACTATGTTGGGTTCAATGCGAATGCTGTGAATTTAAGGGAGCTCACGGCATATACATATCGGATGAGAGATTTGCAGAATACAGAGCTGAAGAATTTGGCCAATTTTGTGCTTGGTAAAGAGATTTGCAGAATTTTCCTTTAAAAGCTCTCATATCAAAACAAAGCACTTATACAAATTTTTTCAAACAGATTCTTCAAATGCAATTTTGACTATTTAATAGCCTTGCAAAATGGGTCCTTAGTGCCATATAAGATAACATAGCTTAAGGTTTGAAGAATAACAGAATACAAAGAGAGACATAGCAGAGAGGGTGAGGAGGAAGGGGGAGAGAGAGAGAAATGGAAGGAGTCAGAAAGAGTCATCCATTGCTGAGGGGAAGAGTGAACAGAAGCTATAACCAAGGCTTCTCTTCATCTCAGATTCAATCATTAGCTACTGTATGTGAAGCCCTAATACCTCCAATGCTGAGAGGAGGTGGAGGTGGCGGCGGTGGAGGTAATTGATTTTGATTTTGGGTTTGGGTTTGGGTTTGGGGCGGGCGTGGGGGGTTGGAGGAAGAAGACGACTAGCTTCTATTTTCTTTTTTTTTCCCCTCACTTATTTTAATGTAATAAATGGAAGTTACTATTTTACCCTTTCAAAAATATTTAAAATATAGTCAAAGTCAAAATTCTTAGTCACCTAACAGACATTTGAATGAAAACCGTCCAAAGGGCTTCCGTCGCAACGTTTCAAAAGGTTTGGGCTAATGGTTGTAACAAATTAAAGGTTTGGGAAAAGTCTGCTAATGTTTTAAAGGTTTGGGGCCTCCGCTGCAATTTTCCCTTAAAATAATGTAGGATGTGTAAATGAAAGAAGCAACAAAAAAATTCTATTTAAATTTCATCACCCCTAACTCTATGCTTTAAAACGTGTAATGTTACGCAGGGTATCAATTAAGTAATTATAAATAGGCTAAAGTCCAATCATGAAGAGTAATGATACGGGGTCGTAAACCAGTTTGTTGCTATAAAGAATAAATACAGATCCATTATTATTCAGCAAAGAGATCATATATACTGTGTGATGGCTATTATAGGAGAAGTAATTGAAGTTTCTGAAGAAGGTTCAAACACTAAACAAGTGCTTGCAAGCATGCTAGATGCAAATGTTGAAATATCTACATAAAATGAAAAACAGAAGTGCTACAATCACTCACCAATCGTGGTACATTCCAATAAGACCACGGTCAAATATGACATCAAGTGTTGAAGGCTTGCGAGCTGGGACAACATTCATAACCCAGACAGGATCTGATATTAGTGCAGCAGCAAAACCACCGAAAAATGCATTCATGTCCATGACATTTCGTATGGATGGAGATCCTAGTCTCAAGTTTAGCGTATTTTTATAGTAAGTGACCCTTCTCATCCATCTCCGGTTATCAGCTTCGAACACATCGATTCCATTTTTCATCACACTGGCCCTCGAAGGAGCCTTTACCAATCTCCCTGGCCATTTTGGAATTGTCCCAACCGCATATTCTCCCTTCGCAGAAGACATCCTGCTCACACATTTCTTCAACTTAAAGTACCTGAGAAAGAAAGTAGTTCGGATCCAGAAAAAACTAATCATAGAAGGCCAGCTTTTACTAACAATCCGATATGAAAAGGTTAGCGCCATAGCTCAAATGCATGGAAAAGTTGCAAGAAGAATAAAACTGAAAAGGGCAATAAATAAATAAATATTAGACATCCCATTATGAGAATTACCATGCAACACTAGGGTCATCAGATTCCTCACATAAGTCAAGCCCAAATTCATTTTGATTAGGGAGACATGAATCGCCATTAGGCTTTTTCCATATGGCAGTGTTTCCATCCACTACAATGAGCTCGTAACACAATGCTCTGGCTACTGCCTGGAGATCAGCCCATTCTTTATCTTGTTTAGGCCATTGTATGGGGGGACCAGATATGACAAGGTAGCCTCCTGGGCGAAGTAATCGGTCAACTTCAAGAAAATATGTTGCATCTGCAAAGTCACGAGACTTCTACGTTATGAACACATGCTGCAAACGATAAAATCTCAACCTGGAAACAACTCTAGTATCAAGAACTCACTATATGCAGTAAAAGGAATCAAGCAGCGCGAGCAATGCACCAAATCAAAAGAGAAACCAGGAAATGGAAGTCTGCGAGTGCCAAGCATCCCAACAAATGCTGGTATTCCTCTTTCTAAAGCAAACTGTATTTGTGATTTGTGTGAATCTCTCGGGGCAAAAGAAAGAGTTAAAATATCTTCAGCAAGCATGTATCCTCCAAAACTAGCAACCTATGATGGAATGGCAATCAGATATTTTCGAAGGAGAAAAAAAAAAAAGAAAATAACTATCACCAGTCTGAATATGAACAACTGGCATGAATTTCTTACCCCACATCCCATATCGAGAGCTGTTCTCAAAGCTCCGCCAGTTATAGGTATATACTGTTTAAGTTTCTCAATATATGGCAGTGCTCCATCTGGGAACATCGTGCCACCACCAGGAAATATGAAATATGGGCCTTCTTTTTTCATCCATCCTTGGTGGCCTTTTCTCTCAGCTATTTTACTATATGGCATGTTATCATGCCATATCTGCATGTAGACAATGCAATTATAATAAAGTCAAAGATCCTAACACTGTTTTGACAAGAAAACAAATCACACTCAAAACCAAAAAGCCAAGTTGCACTTTCAATTGTTAAAACGCTAAATTAATAGATATTTGAGAATGGTTTGCCAAAGACTTTTCCAAATAAAATAACAGTACAGAACTTGATGTGCTCAGTACCATCAAAATATCTAGTCCATCTTCTTCTAGAAATTCACCATTTCCATAAGTACATAATAAACAAAGCATCACCCACCATCCACTCATTGTTACAATTAGAATTCATGGGAAACTTGCAACAAATTATAAGCTGGTATTTTGAAAAATGCTAGAACTAACCTGGAAAATTGTAGTTACTGCTAAACAATTTAGGTTGGATAATTAATCATATCAACAATTTTGATTTCTCGTTAGAATTTGCAGGTAAAGAAAAATTAAGTAAATAAAATAATCAAGTCACTCCTCTTTCTTTCAAACCTACAGCATAATTATAGAAGGCAAATATCAATGCAAACGGGTCAAACACTGCTTTATGTTTTACTATCAAAGACATTTAAATTATACAAGTGGTTTAGTTGTCGAATATATCTTCCATAAAAAAAATAAAAATAAAATAGTTGGTCGAATCTTAAAATACGAATTCAGTGATAAACCACTATTTGATGCCAATACATAAAATTGCCCCAGTGGACAGAGTCATTTCACAATAGATATCAACCTCAAAAAGGGGAGGACTGAGGAGACGAGAAGCACAAATAAAAAAAATTTAAAAGAATCAAGACGGGCAAAACAAACACTATTTATGGAGTCAGAAAGCCAAGCACTTTATTTCAAAACCTAAAGCAATCTGAATAGATAAAAATATCACGCACTGGAGCAGTCAAACTTTTTAACTACCCAGGCTTTAAATGTGTAACTAGCACCATAAGTCTTACCAGTAATTGAGGCGTCATGCAAGATTCAGCCTTTCAACTTTGACATCAGTTTTACCTAACCATTAGTTACAGATTATGTGATGAACAACTTGTAATTGTTCCATCTAAATTACATGACTCATACGAGATATGCTATTCAAATATGATTCACACAATCAAACGCCAAAAAAAAGGAAAGAAAAGATAGGTAAATGAAAGGGGGCTTCCACCATCACTAGGCCAAAAACTATTTGCAATCCAGCATTTTCTGATAATTTTGATAGCTAATAACCTAAATTTCACATTGAACATACAAATAGACAATTTCCAATAATTTGGCACACAAACATGGACCAATTTGCTAATTCTATATCATAGTTAGTATTCCACTCATCAAACAAGCTCAAAAGCTTCAAACTTTAAAATCCTTTAGTAGATTATTTCCAACCCCAAATGCTTAAAAAACCCCAATCCTCTCAAAAGTTCATAAGTAAACCCATCAAAATATTTTAATAATTATCCTAATCAGCAGAGTTAAGACGACTGAAATCGACCTTTTGCAAACTCTCCGGCCAGTGGACCGGAATGCGGTACCCATCAGGCGGGGGGACCAAGCAGAGCAGCGTCTCCTCCGGCCGGGGGCAATGCCTTTCTCTGTAATAATTCATCTCCCTACTAAGCTGACTGTTCAGCCGGGGATCCTCACAGGGCATATGATCCACCAACTCAGCCGGGCACGCATCAATAGACGCCGCCTGCTGCCCAAATTCCACCAGCGCCACCAGCCTCCCCCGGTTCTTCGGATCCGAACCCGATGACTTCAACAAAGTCCGCCTCCCCGATGCCGCCAAGGAGTCCCCCAATGGGGTAAACACTAACAGGAAGAAAAGCAACACTGCTCCAAAGAAAATTGCAGTTACTATATCTAACAAACGCCATGGCTTCACATTACGCTTCGATGAAGGGAGATTCAAGTGACCCATAAGTTAATTCGAACAGAAATTCAAGATCTCAGTACGTACACATGTATCTATCAATATAGAGGTTGTGGGTTGAAGATCTGAAGTAGACTATAGTGTGACTTAAAAGGAAATGCTCAACGGCAGAGCATTTTCTACAGAGAGTGAACGGTACGACCTTCTAATGCTTAATGTCGGGTTAATTTTGGTTTTAGTCACTGAACTTCCAGTGAAATTTCAATTTGGTCACTAAACTTTAATATTTCTCCACCATGTAACTAAACTTCAAATAACTTTCCATATTAGTCACTCTAGTAACCTCTATTTACTAAAATCACAATCCTACATTAACTTTAAAAGTAGGGGAATTTGGCCAGATGACCCACTTGGACAATGATTTTGGACAAATAGCCTTTGACCATCATTAAAATGGAATTAAAAAATTTAAAATGTTTTAATTGATAAAATGACAAAATTGTCCTTCAATTTATATCAAATTATTCACCCAACTTCTTTCATTTCACCTTCTTCTTTCTTCTTCCCTTTTCCTGTGAAACCCTATTCCCCAAACTTGAATTCCAAACCCATCTTCTTCACCTTAATTTTCACTATATTTCAATATTACAAAAAACTTTTCTTTGACTCTAGTTTATTTCACATTACTTTACCCTCTCTTTGGTACAAGTTAAGACAACAAAAAAGGTAATTTTTTCGACGATTTTTTTCTTTTTAGTTATTTTAAAATGTGATTTTGTGCTTCCATTACTATAGTTTTATAATAAAAATTTGTAAAAATTGCATTTTTTTTATGATTTCGTGATTTATTTGTATATTTAGTTTAGTTTTAGCTGAGTTTTTTTAATGTGAATGGATTTTTGATACATTTGGGGTTTTGAAGATGATGGGTTAAAAAAAATTCATTTACTGGCATTGCTATAAATCGAAATTGTGATATGTAAATGTGCTTGTTCTTTGATATGCCTTTAAACTTAGAGAGTTGCATTAAGAATAATTTGATTTAAATAATTTGACATTTTTAGGAAAATTCTTTATATTATGTTTTACTGTAATTCCTATTTTATGTGAGTTCTATTATTAAACTTTACACTTGTTGATTTCAGAATTTTTTCATATTATATTTTGCCTATTTTTACCACAGTACCCTTATTTGTAGATTGGAACTTCACCTACTAAATAATGTATATAAGTTTGCAATTTAAAAGGTTGTGTTTCCCCTTGACTTTATTGAATCATTTTATTCTTTAGTTGCGTAAACGTTGTATCATTACGCCTACATTGATTATTACTTGATTTGACTTTGATTTACCTGTTGTTCCAAGAAAGAGAACTAGCATTGAAATCGTTTAAAAGTGAAAACACACTAATTTTGGTTGTGACAGATATGGCAGGTCATGGCCTTGATATTCCCTACATTGCTCACGTATCAACAAAGCCACCAGCTGATTTGATAAGCCAATCAAGAGGTACCCATTGGCTGATTTGGTTTACAAGTCGAGCTCCATATAGAGGTAAAAGTAGACGTGGTGTGGGCATTTTGGTGGTCGTGATTTTAGAAGTGATAACTCTTATACTCGGAGTGGGGAAAGCACATATTAGTACAGTGGTAGTGGTTGAAATAATGTTAATTATAGTGGTGGGGGG